CCGCTACCACGGCCACCCTCAACCCCGCAGCGATGAACCCCTACACGTTCCGAGGCTGGCATTTGCCCACAGCCTACTCGGAAACGACAAACTGTGACAGAAACTACCCGGGAGTGTACCCTGCCTCATGGCCCTCAGGCTACTTCACACCTCCCTCGGTCTACCCCTTCCAAACAGACACGCCCGGCGCGGCAAAACAGCCCAACTCTGGGGATTGGAAACTCAACGGTATCAACCACCCGTCTGACAGCCCGGCGTCCGTGGGCCGGGACTCGAACCTCATGAAGACTGGTTACGAGAGCTTGCTGTATAAGAGCTCGGCCGTCAACAACGGGCGACCCGAGTACGAGGCTTGCTCCAGAGATGACCCCCAGAGGTCATGCTGTGCCATCTCCTGCAGCTGCAACAACCACCAGAGACTGACCAACGTGCTGGACAATTCCTGGCGCAATACTGACCACATGTCGCCCAGCCTGGACTTCGGCAAGGGACCCAGTATGTCTCCTTACCAGACGCTCTGCCAAAGAGGTGAGAAGTGGTTGGATTAGGGGTTTTGGTGTTAGGGACGGGGGAGGTGGTTGAGGTATTTTGGAGGGAGGAGGTGGGAGGGGGATTTCCTGATGTTTGGGAAAGGGGGGGGGGGAAATCAGGTCTTTTTGGGAAGGGAGGAGGTGGGGATGGAAGAGATGAAATTTGACTGGAATAAGGGATGTGTTGTTTTGGAAGGGGAAGGTGGAGGACTTTTTTGAGAGGGAGAAGGTGGGGTGAAAGAGGTAAGAAGTGGCAGGATTTATGGATCGTTTTGCAGCGGTTATCTAATAATTTCTCCAGGTAAATCACAATTTGTTTTCCGTAATTGTTATTCTTGCTCTCGTCGCTGCTGTTTCTCTGATATCCCTGCTCGTTGTGCAGTTGCTGGCTTCTTTTTTCTAAATTATTGTTATTGATTTGTTTTTTCGGGAATTTTTGCGCATGATAAACTCAGTTCCGATTTTACAGAAATTTCAGACGATTTGAAATGATTTATGGAGTTTTATTGTTGTTGTTGCTGCTGTTGTTGTTGTTGTTGTTGTTGTTGTTGTTGTTGTTGTTGTTCTTCTTCTTCTTCTTCTTCTTCTTCTTC